TGGAAAGAAAAAAAATCACCAAAACTTTAACCTCAAATTTAACTATGTAAGTCCAATTAAGTTGATTTGGGCCATAGAATATGAAAATATGGTCCAGCACATTGCTTACACTCGATATAAATGACCTTAACTCATAATAGACAACTGTGTATTGAGTGTGATGATCCAACACTGTATGGAAAAAACTTGCCCATAACCTCAAATTTAACTAAGTCCAATTAAGCTGTTTTTGGGCCATAAAATATGAAAATATTGTCAGAACATTGCTAACACTCCATATAAATACTTCAACTTTATAACAGACAACAGCCTATTGATGGTGGTTGTCAAACACTTCACAAAAAAAACTTCCCCAAAAATCTTGAACCTCAAATTCAACTAAATCCAATTAAGCTATTTTTGGGCCATAGAATATGAAAATATGGTCCAGCACATTGCTTACACTCGATATAAATGACTTTAACTCATCATAGACAACTGTGTATTGAGTGTGATGATCCAACACTGTATGGAAAGAAAAAAAATCACCAAAACTTTAACCTTAAATTTAACTAAAGTCCAATTAAGTTGTTAATAGGCCATAGAATACGAAAATATGGTCCAGCACATTGAATATGGTCCAGCACATTGCTTACACTCGAAATGAATGACCTTAACTCATCATAGACAACTGTATATTGAGTGTGATGATCCAACACTGTTTTGAAAAAAAAAATCACCAAAACTTTAACCTCTAGTGATCTGAAGGTTCCCGGACGCCGACGCCGGGGTGACTACATTAGCCCCCCTATTCTTCGAATAGGCAAGCTAAAAAGTGTCATGCTGTTTACTTAACAAAATAAGTATATTTAAGGTTACATGACTGAAAAAATAGGGTAAGTCAGGTTTTCTTTTTCTTTTTCTTTTTGAGAGGGGCTAATTTAAGAAATTACAAAAATCACCAAACATATTTGTACGTCTTTTAAATAGTAATATGGGGTTTAAATTTGGTTTTGATACCAGCCTGTGAAGTAGAGAGGGTTCATATATATATAGTTGCCTTGTTTATTCATCCATCAATTTATCCCAATTAAGTCTGGATGTTTATGAGAGATAAAATTGTTTGTGTCGAAGGTAAAAACTAGGGTAAGTCGGGGTACCTGAAACATACATATTTTGTTTGTCCTTATATATTTCCTTCTCTTTCTTATATATTTTCCAGTTTACCAATAAAGATGGGTTTTAGCTGCTAAATATGAACAAGAATTCCACGGGAGTGGATGTGTCGCCTGCTCAGCGCTTTTAGTAAGGAAAGTGTTTTGGCAGGAGTTATCGCGTAAACAGATATGCCAAAACGCGGAAAGTTGAAAATCAACAGAAAACCCTGTAATATATGCTGAACATTAAACATTACTGCTTCTAGAATTACTGTACAAATTTTGAAAGGGAAAATGACGTAATTATGTGACTCGTATTCCTTAAAATATAGTCAATCATAAATTATCTGCAATTACCAGTAATGATTTGAAAATAAATGAAGGTTCTTATGTTAATGAATTTAGTTAACACAATTAATAGACAATGGTGGTAGTGGGATCTTTATGACCAGATGGCATTGTAAATTTATTTGCTATTGAAATTTAGAGTTTATTTGATAGTGGAAATGAAACCTTGATGCTTTTTGTCAGCGAAAACACATCTTCCAATGAAAAAGTTGATCTTTCCATCTTAATTAACTTAGCACAATAAAGAAATTCTCATACCTTCAGGAAAAGGCACTAATGCTTCTGATGCGTCCAGTCTTGAACCCAACATCGTACTGTAAGAGAAATGTACAATGATATATAAACACAATTTACGCATTGGTATCTCAAGACAAAGCAATAAATATAAATTTGCCATTGTTGCAAAGGGCAAAAATTAAACGGTAGCAAATAATTCCAGGTATACAGTAATTATACAGTTTCCTTGTTTCACAATAGATACAAGTGTTTTTGGCTGGTGGTGGGGATGGGTTGGGAATAAACAAACTAACACACCTCAGACTCCATTTTCCCAAGATGCACTCAAGAAGCACAAGTATTAAGTTTGGTGAACATAAGTGAAAAAGACAGATGTTAACAATGAAAATGATCTCCTCAGAATTCCTCTAAATCACTTACAAATGTGAAGCTTATTAGTTTACCAGCTAAACAAGATATTGGGCTTGAGCACAGAATCTGAGTTTGAGATTGAGAACGAATTCATGAATATTGATATTGGCCCAGGTCTTGTATTCATGAAACTGTTATCATGCTAAAAGGTCGTGTCAATTCTCTGCTTACACCAATTGTCTTATAACTTGCTTAAATCATCTGACATGGCAAAAAAGTAAAGTCTATTTATTGAATTTTTTCATCAATATATCAGGAACCAAACAAAATATTTAAAAAATGGGCAGGAGCACACAATCTGAGTTTGAGCATGAAAACGGTTTCATAAATACAGGCACTGAAAGCAAAATTAATTCTGATAACTTCATAAGAGACTTGATAGTTTCAAGGCATTATTATTGGATTGATCTGTAAAAAACACATACATCTTCTAAAATCAGGTTAATTCAATTTGATATTGCTTACCTTGCCTAACGGAATTTCCCCGCTCTACGGCGACATAGACCTGCCACTATGTCACACCCTTGGGCCCTTAGCACAGCCCTTTTGACTGCCTCCACACTGTGGCTAAAACAAGAAATAAACTGAATTAAAAATTACATTCATAAAATCATAAAATGTCCGTCTTTTAAAGCTCTATTGAAACAAAAAGACTACTCAGAACGGTAACACAAGTGTCAAAATTAGGTTGGATGAAAATTGGTATGTAAAATCATCAACAGACTGTAATTGAAGCAAAAATAGAAATATATAACAGCACCAAATCAGCTCCCACTGTCATTTTTGCCTATTTTAACATTGTTATTTACCTCAGTGTGAAGAAAGTCAAACCATCATGAAACATGGCAGTGTCTCAATGCCACCTCCAGGCACGTCCCCCGTGTCCTTCATGAAAGAAAATTAAGATAAACATGAGATTTTCTTTCTTATGAAAGCAACTGCTATATAAAGATGGGATTAAATACTCAGGTCTGAACTGAATATGATGACCAATTTTGATGGAAATTATTTTTCAAAATTTTAGCTTCATTCAAGGTCAACATTTTAGGGTATAGAAATTAACTGTAATGAATATTTCACTTCCTCATTTTTATAATTAATTCTAAGAGTGTCAATTACCTCCTATGGACCTCCGGGGGACCTATAGAGGTCGGGAAAAACGCTCCCTCTAAAAATACACAACAATATACTTGATTATGTTATGCTCGATGAACAGGTACTTCATGGAATAAATTGTTTGGCAGCACGTACTGGTCTACATTTAATCAATTTTAATAGTTTTGGGTGTATTTATCTAAATGTTTTAATATTTACACTTTACTAAGCAGACAGTAACTAAACTGAATACATAGTACATTTCTACTTTTGAAGACAAGCTGTATAGCATATATTACCTTTATTGAATCTTTTTTGTGGGGATAATTATGTGCAACTAATACAGTTTGTATTTTCCAAATGTTACCAAGATCAAAACTACATGTAGCCATCATTGATATGTTAATATTGATATAGAAAATGTTTGTAAAATATACATATGCCAATTTAATGGAAACAAAGCTAACCAAATTTAATGTATATATCAGAATGTAAGGTCTTACAAAGTTGGTGAAATGGAAAATACAGTCAATATTTGTATACAATTATTAATGAACTGTTTTCATGCAATTATTTACCCTCCTCTGGAGGCTGGCAGGCCTTCCGTCAGTCAGATATTCTGGACCAGATGACCTTTACCCTAATCAGACTTTCCGACGCAAGAGGTACTGTTGCGAAAACAGATTTATTCTAGTTCAGCTGCACTCATCCATCCAGTCACAAGAGAATTTAACCCCAGCTCGGAAACAACCAATATGAAGCACTGGACTCAGTATGATTACATGTTCCCCTCAGGACTATCACGGAGGGGTACATGATATCGGATCCCCACATATAACCATAAAGGTCCTTGTACCTCAATAATGGAGTTCGCCAGGGTTAAAAACTTTGTTAAAGGAGTGAATAATGCAGCTGAAATGTCATAAATCTATCCGGCTTCAGATACCCCAGACGCCAAATCACCCAACTAGAGCTCAGACCACCACCCTAGATATATCTGACCAGGGTTCTGTCCATTAACAGTAAGACAGTCCTGTAAGAAAAAAAGTCTTATTAGCATCATTTTGGTAAATTTTACATAAATTGGTAGAAGGAAATGAAGAAGCTGATGGTGTAAATTTGGTTAAGTCTTTGAGTAAAATCTTTTAAGATACCATAGATAGCACACAGCTAAATGCAAAAACATTAATGAGGACACTTTAACGGCTGCTGGACCAGGAAATGTAAGCCACATTTATGATCAGTATCTGATCATGATCTGGAGTAGCCAAGATGAAAACTATGGTCCAAGTTTGATGGTCTAGCTAGTACTTACATTAAGTCGACTGAATTCAGTTATCATTTGAAGCTGCACCCTTTGCCCTAACAGTAACATAAATATGGTAAAGCTACAAAATTGGCATTACCACATCCCACTCATCACGTAAATATATACGCTGTCCTTTCCCTCACAGATCACCAATATTTACTCCGAAAATAAGAAATTATGTGTACTTGCATTTGAAAACGATCTAATTATCTGAATAATTACTTCACAGTTCACAGCCCCATGGGACTGAAACACAAACTCAAGACTCAAAAAGTAGGGGATGGGCTTATAACAGGACAATGAAAAAGGTTTTCTTAGCATTTTTATTTAACTTCCATAAATATGCATCGATAGTGAGTGGGTTTATTGCCAGATAAAAATGGTATCTCCTGCATATACCCCTTAGGAAGCTACCATTTTTATTGATCAGAATGAAATTGAACTGTGTTTAATTTAACTCATTCATAATCTAGATTTCTCCCCAACAAACTTTTAAAACAATTTTTAATGGAGCAAAAGATTATTTTTTCAGATACCAATAGCACTTGTTTTATGAATTATCATCTTGTATTCAGAATGATTACTAGTCAAGTGTTAATGGACAGACTGATGGACAATGTAATTAATATAGGACATGCCCTAATTAATCAACATTTATCAGTTTGAAATAACACCAAGAAAAGTAACCATTTCAACAAAAGACAATCACAATGGATCACACAAGACAGAATACCTAATAATCTGCAAGTATTGTAACAGTATCACTAGAGTTATCTCCCTTATATCTTCACAATACAGGCCTCAGACCACAATTACACTTCCGGGTCTTTGTACACGAATGTAGTGCATAAGGACATTTCAGGTGGTTTACTAAATATTTTTTCCTCTCTGATCTATGATAAATATGTACATTAATTGTTTTTACATAGAATTGTTCAACAATATCTATTCCAGTGATTACATTTTATTTGACACAGTTTCCAAGTTTGTATTGGCAGCAGGACACAATGAGTGATCAGGCTTGAANTTCTAGTGATTACATTTTATTTGACACAGTTTCCAAGTTTGTATTGGCAGCAGGACACAATGAGTGATGAGGCTTGAGTAGTGATAGTTTGTGATTTTTGGTATTTTCCCCTATACATGCAGGGTAGAGACATTAAAATGAAATTATCTTTCTTAAATGCCCGGTCATGAAGTACTTTCCAGCTCACTGTATGTTCAGTTTGAATAGACCTACAATATGAAATAGGAACAAGACCCTGCGCAAAGTTTAAAATAATTTCATTTCATTTTTACATTCTACATATAGTAGAATTAATTGTGGTCTGAGGCCTGTATATGAATGTGTAAGGGAGGTAACTCTAGTAACACTGTTTCACTAAATTTATTTGATATCAAATTAAATAACCTTTATATATTTGTATGCAAAACAAACATTTCTAAGAATAAACCATGAGCGCAATGAAGCACAAAACATGTAAGGAAACCCTTGATTTGCATGGATGCTTGAATAGTTGGATTATGGTCACGCCCTGCTCCGTGTTATATCTGACAAACTAACTAGTCGTCTGCAGAGGGTCCAGAACACTGCAGCACGGCTAGTTACTCGTACTCGAAAGAGAGAGCACATCACACCTGTGCTTTATTCGTTGCACTGGTTACCTGTACGATACAGATCGCAGTAAAAATTCTGGTGTACACAAACAAGGCACTGAATGGAACAGCTCCTCAGTACCTACAGGAGCCTTTGTTTTTTTGTTTTTTTACAATTATAACCATTACTATTATCCATATGTTGTAAAGCGCTTTAAAGTAATTTTACAAATTATATAGGACGCTATATAAATGTTGTATATTATTATAGTACCTCAGATTAAATAATTAACACATGCATGTACAGACAAGTGAATGAAATAAGGTAACTAATGGCAAATTTGCTCATAAACTGTGGGACACATGCTGAGATTGAATTTTCATAAATTGCTTGTTCACAGAAACTATTATGGTATAAAATGCAAATTAACAGAAATAATTGTGGTATACAACTGCAACACATTGACCAAGGAGAACTAATTAAAATTATTAATACGGCCAGGATACATGTACAACTTTTATAAAATATAGCAATGATTGTTGATAAATGGCAAATTTATTTACCTGCTGGTCTGGGGTAGTACGCTTCCGACATTGGTCACAGGTCGGCTGTGTACCTAATGTCCATCCTGCAAAAATAGAAATAATAAATATGCATGATTATCTCCCTTGAAATGCATGCAAAATCTGAACAGTTTGTACTTACACTTGAAATAGATTCAAATCATGAAATTTAATTATGGCACCATCAATCATGAACTTTTTTAATTTAATTGTTTTTACTTTTGGTAACCTTTATTCATCAAAACACTGATTAAAATCAGAAATTTGTTTATGTTAGCTTTATGTGACAAACAAAATAGGGGGGGCTCAAAACTTTAAAATAGCTATTTATCTGGTAAACAATGAAGTCTTCCACATGATCACCCATCAACCTGTAGATTATTTACTAGTAACAATTACACCTTCAAAAGGATTAATATCCACAAAGTTAACAAAATCCGGATTGACATAATTGTAAATTTATATACATACCAAGAACCACTGACGGACTTCCACCGCTCGTCTCATGGACAACACTGTAAAGAAGAGTGAAGATTAACAATTAACTTTTTGGAATTGGAAAATTTGTGTTGCATTTAACCAAATTATGTAAGTGCTAAATTGAATTTTTCACAAAGTATCATCCAAAATTACTGATTATCTATTTGGCACATACAAAATTTTGAAAAATTTCGCTTAAAACTATAATGAGACTACATGTAGTTGCACTCACAAGAAAAAGTAACTAAGTTTCAAAGGGCCATAACTCTTGTAAAAATTAATGCAGTATAATGCCTTAATGATATTCAAATCTTCATGTGATTATCGTGACACATACAAATTTGTAGAAGATGTCCTGATTCAATGTTGGGGTGGGGGGGCTTTGCTCCCATGTCTCATGTTGACCCTAAAGAAGGCTTAGGGGTGGGGGGTCAGAATATTTGTTGGAGTAAAGTTCATATTCGTAAAATTACATTAGATGATGTGCATAGCTGAAGTCTTTGGCCCCTGTGACTCAGTTTCAATACATATCCTTCCCCCAACACAACCCAATCATTTTGACCTGAATACACATTATTTTCCTCAACAGAAAACACCTAAAATCTGAGTGAGTGATACAGATACAAGGTTAGAGAATATCAGAAATTATTATATGACAGGTGCTAATTCCCAGGCATGATTGGAGGAGCGACGTCACGTGACGAGTCTGTAAATATGTTACAGACCTGTTCTATCAATAGAAAAGTGTTACAGACCTCAACCTATATATAAAAAAAATTACAGACCGCTACTAAAAATAGGCCAAGGTAATTTCCCAGCCAGTCTGTAAATCTGTTACCATTCACACTACTGAATTCAACTACAAATGAGTTATCTCATAAAATTCCCAACTATGTTAAAATTGAATCTGAAATTCAATTTTTGTGTATGTTATTTTGTATTTGAAGTCCTTCACTCTGTGATTCCAAAATGGTCCATGCCATCCATGTGTTTATGACATGAAAAAGAATTAATCTGTTTGTAAAATGTCATACAATAAAACAATTGTGGACTTCAGGTGAGGTTTATCCCTGATTTACGAACCTGGTCTGAACAATATTCACAGAGGCAGACGGATTGTTTAATATATTATAACAACCCCAAGAGGGGTTCTGAGTGTAAGACTAAGATACTGCAATATTCAAGCCTTGATCCGATTGGGGTCCTGGTAATGATGGTTTGGTGAGCCGATTTGGGTCACCTTACTTGACTGCTACCAAAATAGGCCCTACCGGACATCTTTTCGGCAACATTTCGGACATTACACAACCATCTTGTAATTAGCACCCTAGCTGTCGGACGCCATCTTTGTTGCTTTGAAGAGAGATTCTAGTTTGAGTTATCTCCCCTGCACGTGCTTTTAGAGCGGGGTCTATTTTAGGTAATAGGATTGTGTCGCCATTTCTCAGTAGAATTTATTCAAATTTTGTAGATATATTGCTTTGAAGTTAAGACAATTTTCTGCCACAAAAAAATATTGGTTGTCAGATTTTTAAGGATTATAAAAGGAAATTTATGTAAAAAGGAGTGAATTTTGAATTTTTTTTTTTTTGCCAAATAATGTCAATAAAAATGATACTGACATAGATTAGTTTTGCATTAAATGTAAATCAATTTCATACGCTGAAATTGTGTACAATTAATTATCTATAAACGATTAAAAATTGACATTTTATAATAAAAGCAATTGCATGCAAGAGTTATCGTTCTTGAAAAATTTTCAAAGTAGTGAAATAAGTAGCCGGTTTCTGAAGTCTAGTCTTATCTATTAATTTTTTTTTTTTTGATAGACGTGCCCACCACCTATGATCTATGCAGTTTATTACTTAAATAGAAATCTAGACCCCGGCCATAGGTGGTGGACACGTCTATCAAAAAAAAAAATGAATAGATAAGTCTAGTCTTATCTATCCATTTTTTTTGATAGACGTGCCCACCACCTATGCTCCTATAACATAAGAAGCCGCTGGTCGGCCTTTTCGGATATGATTTTGTCAAAAGTATCTCGCCGTGTAAAACCTCTAAAATTATATAACGAACCCCGTGTCCCAGGGGTCTCGTTTAAAACAATCGATTCCAAATCTAGATAAGTTGAAATCGCAAGAGTACATCGGCTAGGCCTAATGATGTGAAAAGTCCGCCATCAGGGGCTTCTAACAAAATGTGCACGCCTATAGGCATAATATTATTATATTCAATATCATATAATCAGTTAATTGGATTAATTTTGATGTGCACGATAATTGATCACACAAAAAAGTGATAATTCGCTAAAAAAAAGCATAAAAGGGCAATCAATATCAAAACTCATTGAATCAGAGAGTAAACAAACACGTCAATATCAATTTGACAATGCGATCATCGCATATTTCACCATAATGAAGAAAATATATTGCACTTACCAAAATGGTTGTCCATAGGCGTTAACAGCGCGGGGAAATGTGACGCGAATCTAGATCTCGTTCTATGTGCATGTGACCCAGTGCATTTTCATTGGTCGAGAAGTTAGCATGAACACAGTTTTCCTACTAAATCCAATGACGCCCGGAGCGACCCGGGTGATTTAGGGGTCAGTGCAGGTATGGACAGGTACCTCTAGTTCTGCCGAGGGAAATTGTATATATGAAACATAATTAATTCAGTGAAGAACTACTGAAATCAGCGTCTTTTCTACCGTAAATATCAACCGTTTAGTATGGGTTTTTTTTTCTTGCTGTCTTTTCCTCCTTTCATGCAACTTTAAAGATTGTTTGTCCCTATGCGAACCCCAGCTAAGGTTTGGTGCTGTCCATTGAAAAGTTGAACTTTTCGTGGCACTAATCACAAAACCATTACTTCCCTACTTTTAACAAATTGTTTGCAAGACATCAATAGTAAATATTGCAATAAAACAGATATAAACCAGGGGTACAGAAAGTGACTAAAATATGTTTAAATTCAAAATTTTAATGAACACTGCATATAAAATCCAAAATTTTAATGAACACTGCATATAAAATTCAAAATTTTAATGAACTCTGCATATATTGAATGCTAAAGAAAATTGATTTATTCCAATTTGATGTATATTACACACACCTATCTAATAAATTGATATATTGATAGTTCACATTCTTACCCAAAGGGAAAAAATCCAGTATAAAACGCCCAGCGTAGCGATGCGATTTTTTTTTTCATTTTGAAACAAAAAATGTTTGGACCCCGTCCCCTTACAATATTGCATATTACACTACAATATTGCATATTACACTACAATATTGCATATTACACAATATACTTAGAAAGAACTGTGTGTCGAGGCGTGGGGAATAGCACAAGTGTCATGAAATAAAATCTCTGTGTTTGAATTTTTCGATGGCTTAGAAAACAAGAATTCCACGGAAGAAGATGTGTCGCCTGCGCAGGAAGCTGGGAGATTGCGAAGAAATAGATACACTTTTCATTTCAAGAAATTATGTTAAAAGTAAGCAATAATCATAGATTATGTTTTTGGATGGCATCATTTTGTTATATAATCTGTTATTCTGGGAAAAATTCTCTGAGTTTTAAGGAACTTGCTATGGATACTTATTGTCTCAATTCCAGGTTTAATTTGTATGATTTGTCGGATGGTTTCCCATAAATAAATGAATAAACTTGGATTATGATGTTAAACAGCTAGTGTTGTCAATAACATTTGGAGTAAGGCATTTCAGAGGTATACACGGTGGGTCATACAGTTTTAGTGAAGTTTCTATTTATAGTAACAGTGACCTTGACCTTTGACCTTCGGACCTGAAAAGCAATCCCAAGCAAGCACTTTTGGTAAGGAAGCACTGCATGAAGATTGAGTTTGATCGGCCCAAGGAAACTCAAGTTATCGCACGAAAACAGATTTTCTATGTATAGTAACAGTGACCTTGACCTTTGGCCTTCGGACCTGAAAAGCAATCCCAAGCAAGCACTTTTGGAAAGGAAGCACTACATGAAGTTTGAGTTTGATCGGCCCCGAGGAAACTCAAGTTATCGCACGAAAACCTATGTTCGGACGACGCCGCCGACACCGACACATACATGTGTATACTGTTTATTATGTGCAAGAAATATTTAAAACGTTAGCGTGGATAATTGAAAAATGTTCAATCAAAACTGCATACCAAAGAAATGACCTATTTTGAGGGTTATATTATACAGTTCATAGTGGTAATAGAGTTCTATCCTAATTAATATCCACCGTTTAAGATTTGTACAGTCTAAAAACGGGAACCGCTTCAGATTGTACATCGCCCCACGGTGGTACATATTTATGTATTCATGTGTATGTGCTCATGTATACATATATACATATATATGTAATATTATATCCGGTTAGATATAAGATTGCTGTTGGGTTGAAGACTCGTCCTTTTTAAAAACGGAACTACCCGCACGTGGTCAGAACACATACGTTGCAGCTTTCTTATATCAACCGGAAGTGAAATGTTTTAGGCATTTTAAGAATTAATAAATGTTTTTAGTTTTGTATGATTAATTTAATTTGTTTATTATTTAGAGTGATTGGATATTGTTGCTATTACACTATTCGCTGTGTCAGATAATCAGATATTGATTATTAGTTAAGTATTCGTTTATCCCGTTATTCCTACCAAACTAATAGGTCCATATAGAACCGTCGGCCTCCCTCCTTTACCCGCGCTAACCTTGTGGGGTTTTACTCCGAATGAGCGAGAGGACCTATTTAACGGGTCGTGTTATACAGTTTATAGTGGTAATACACTTCTATCCTAATTTATATCCACCGTTTAAGCTTTGTACAGTCTAAAAGCGGGAACCGCTTCAGATTGTACATCGCCCCATGATGGTACATCTATATGTATTCATGTGTATGTACTCATGTTTACATATTTATATAGTATTATACTCGATTAGACATAAGATTGATGTGGGTGGAAGACTCGTCCCTTTAAAAAACGGAACTACCCGCACGTGGTCAGAACACATACGTTGCAGCTTTCTTATATCAACCGGAAGTGAAATGTTTTAGGTTTTTGTATAATATACAAAAGTGCTATTAGCTGCGACAGATAAACAGATATTGATTATTAGTTCAGTATTCGTTTACCCCGTTATTCCTACCTAACTAGTAGGTTTACGCCGAATGAGCGAGAGGCAGACGCGTCCTTTTTATAAACGGAACTACCCGCACGTGGTCAGAACACATACGTTGCAGCCTTCTTATATCAGTCGGGCGTTTGGTGTTATTATGGTTGGATTTTCTATTGTGTATCCTTTATTTCAACTTAACTTTTTACCCTGCTTCCATCCCTTGTTTTTTTTTAAGAAGTGACTTTCCCACCTGCAGGATGTATGAGATATATATTGCTATAAACGATTTTCGCTAAGTCACTTTAGAGTTATTTCCCTTATTTCTAGGACGTCTAGGTTGTATTATTTTGCTTGTTGGTTTATAGACGAGGTGATTTGGTATTTTTAGGTTATGATAATCTGGTACCAATAGATATAAATGGACAACGCATATGAAAAGACTTTTCTTTCTTTCTACTAAGAACTGATAAGAATATCCTTTGAGATATAATTCATGTTTACAGAAAAACAAGTGAAAACTTTCATAAGAGTTATTTCCCCTTGATCAATGGTCTCAGGTCCACAATTCTAGATAGTCTATTTTGCTCAAAAAAATTATCAGTATTTTATGTATTGTAACATCCTCACTTTTTTAATCGGTTCTTTTATTATATTCCGTAACACGTTTGTTTATTAGAGATTATGCTTCTCCTTTAGATGAATTAACTTCACACTGAATTGTTTCTTGTTTTAGTGCCTTTTTGGCTAATTTATCGGCTTTTTCATTTCCGGGATTGTCTACATGGGCTGGTACGTATTCGAATTTTACGGGAATTCCTTGATTTTTCAGAGATTGAACTGAATTTAAAAAAGAGTTAAGTACGGTGGTTCTTGTACTGTTTTTGGGTTCTATCGATCGAAGTGAGGATAGACTATCTGTTAGAATTACGTCCCCTTGTTCAGGTTTTTCTTGTTCAATAATTCTAAGTGCTAGACCTATAGCTATTAATTCACTAGTGTATACGGAACAGTTAACAGTTAGTCTTACGGATACTGCTATATTATTTTCTAATGAATAAATCCCTAGTCCTACTCTATTGTTGTCAGGGTTTTTCGACCCGTCCGTATAGTATTTAGGTATATTTTTATATTTATCATCTATTATAGATAAAGCCTTAGCTGCTGTTGGATTTTCTTTTTTATTTGTCGCGTTTAAAATATCGGTGCTAATACTTGGTTGGCCTAGTAACCATGGTGGTATT